GTACAGTGATAGGAGACCTCTGGAAACACCAGGTGCCACAGTGGGGAGAATGCGGCTGTAAAGTGCCAAACTGCCGTTGTGTCCTTAGGCAAGACACTTCATCCACATTGCCTAGAATGAGTCTGGTGTGTGTGAATGGTTGGTAGTGGTCAAAGGGGCCGATGACACATACTTGTTGCCTCGCTTCTGTCAGTGTGCCCCAGGGCAGCTGTGGCTACAGTAGTAGTTTATCACCACTGTGCATGGAGTGAATGAATAAAGATGTGAAGCATCTTTGAGTGTCCAAAAAGTGTCGCAGTATAAAATTGATGCATTTTTTTTATTCAGATAAAATGAACTTAACTTGAAATAAATCATGAACAATTTCTTGTTCAAACAAAATTGGTATTCCTCATACCACATTCATATTTTGACATCATGGGACACAGGCAACAATAACGCTCAAATTCTAGGTTGGCTCTGGTGACCTTGGCGCTCTAAGTGGTTGCTAAGTTAGCGTATAGGGTTTGGCCAACTCTGGATACAAAGAGAGACGAGAACAGTCACAAGACTGCAGCCCTGGTATTTTAGCCAGGACCAAATGGTGTGTCGACCCGAGACTAACAGTCTCGTCAAATGAAGGTTCAGGAGGTTCAAGGAGGCATAGCCATGTGGCTCTCACTGTTTACAAAGAGTCAACCTATGATACAATAGGGAAAAAAGAAGGGTGCATGTAAACGGCAAACAAAAACTCTTCCGTGCCCTCTGTGCCTATGCCATCGCATAAATGCCTGCTAGAATTCTGTTGATAGTGAACTGACCGCATGGCTGCAAGTTTGGTCCGGTGGAATGAACTCAGATGTTGCGTCAAACCTTCTACTTTATTGTGGGACTTGTTGCACCAAAAGGTTGACATCCTTTGACCACATCTTACATTGATGGCTGCTTTGTTGTAAAAAGTGCCTTGCAAAACCAGATGATGAATGGTCAACTGCAGGTATACTTTGAGAGGTCAGAGACATCCAAGCGTGGACTGTGGGCTAAACAACACTGTATGATACCTGACCCAAATCCCCAGTACAGCAGGGACGTGCAGTCAGGGGAGGCAGAGCCTCACCTGCCATTATTGGAAACTAATAATTATTTTAGTTTAAATATATAATTTATATCCACTGTCCTATGCTTTTAATGTATATTCGGCACGGTTCCCATCAGTTTTGATCATTTCTGAAGTCAAAATCGCCGAAATCCCGTTATTCCTATTCAAAGAGACGAGGTGAGGCAGCGCTCCTGCGTGCCTCACCCCAGACCGCTCCCTCACAGTGTGTGTGTGTGTGTCTGAGTGCACTCAGCTCGTGCAGTTGATATATCACCGTTTGTTTCAAATATCCTGCTTTAAAAACATTTTTTAAACTCCTCTTAGTGTTTAGTAGTGTATTGCACGTATGTGTGTACAATTTATATTTAGTTTAAGTCTTTTGATCGTAGATGAACACACAAGGAAAAAGCTTGGCGTGAGGCAGGCGGTATCTGTGCCTCACCGCTAGGGGTGATAGTGAGCATAAAGTTCATACCAGAGTTGCTAACAAACAATCAGCCCAAAATGCTATTTCTTTTGCTGGAAAATGGATGATTTGAATGAAGATTTTTTTTCTCAATTGGACTTTCAAACAAAGAAAGAATTAATATAGACTGGGAGACCACCACTGGACTTACGAGGTTAGTCCGGCTGCGGGGGAGGAGTTTGTTAATCTGTGTTTTATGTTGAACATTGACAGATACCGGCAAAGTAGTGCTTTTCCGAAAAACACTGATTCAAACACTGCTCAAGAGTTCTGCAACTTGTTTAAATTATTGTTTATGTTCCTCGCGTCTCTCTCTCCTCGCGTCTCTCTCTCCTCGCGTCTCCGTCTCTCTCTGCTCCTCGCGTCTCCGTCTCTCTGCTCCTCTCTGTCTCTCTCTGCTCCTCGCGTCTCCGTCTCTCTGCTCCTCTCTGTCTCTCTCTGCTCCTCTCTCCTCGCGTCTCTCTCTCCTCGCGTCTCCGTCTCTCTCTGCTCCTCGCGTCTCCGTCTCTCTGCTCCTCTCTGTCTCTCTCTGCTCCTCTCTCCTCGCGTCTCTCTCTCCTCGCGTCTCTCGCACCTGCGCTTCTTAAAGATGTTGTTTGATGCGGAGCAGAGTCAGCAGCTAGATTTGTTGTGAGATTATTAAAAGAAGCTGGTTCTCTTATCTTTACAGTATATAAAGTTTGTGGATGTCATTGCATTGGTGATTAAATGCTATTTTATTTGAATAATGATTGTAAATCTGACTTTTAAAGTCAGTGCCTCCCCAATCACAAACCTCACCGCACGTCCCTGCAGTACAGGCAGCATCTTGTGTGGTCAACTGGACAAGGAACCAATGAACGAGTTTCATGATGATTCATATTGAGCAAAAATGATGGCCATTTATCTTTGATAATATATATATATTAGGGCAGTGACTTTAACGTGTTCATTAAGATTAATTAACGCCACAAAAATTAGCGCGTTAAAAAAATTTACGCCTTTTAATCGTGTATGTTTTTGCACTGCGGAACGTTCCTCACTGGATGAGTTTCAGACGGACCGATTGTACTGGAGCGCCAACTGAGCTCTGTGACTTGTTTTGTTCAAAAGTACATTATTACAAGCATAGACAAACTTTAGCTGTGTCTAAATCCCAGTGAGTTAGAGACTGGAAAGAGCGCTGTGTATGGAGCTATGGACTCACACTGTGTGTGAGGAGGAGGAGCAGCCAGCGACTCCTGTGTGTGAGCGGAGGCGAAGGAGGAGGAGGAGGAGGAGGAGCGAGACACAGGTGTGTAAGCTGCTATTGCTGATGTTTAGTCCAAATACACACATCAAAAACGTATAATAAAAGCTTTACCAAACAGCGCATGCCCAGCTTTAGTGCTCACTGCGAGTGCAGAGGACTTTGGGCATAAAAAGCGTTTGTTGTTGTCAGAGTGTGTGGAGGCAATGACAGAAACGTTTTTGGATGGGAAAGAAGTCCGTCTGATCCCCTTATCATCCACAACAACATGTGTTGCCTAGGCTTATGTATTCAGTCATTATTCAATGGTAACTAAACTAAAAATCCATGTGAAAAAATTTACTTCTCACTGTTCTCAGTCCAAATATTTATATGCGATTAAAATGTGATTAATTGCAATTCATTAATTACAAAGCCTCTAATTAATTAGATTATTTTTTAATTGAGTCCCAGCCCTAATATATATATATTATATATACAAAGTAATATGTATAAATATATGTATATATATATATATATATATATATATATATATATATATATATATATATATATATATATATATATATATATATATATATACATAGATTTATACATATACATAGATTTATACATATTACTTTATTCATGCTTTTTATCCAGAACTCAAAAGGCCCAAACCTCTCGTGAGTACAGGCCTATGTAAATTACTTCATTATGTAAACACAAGGGGAGGGTATATAAAACTAGATAAAATAAAAGCATGAATCTTAGCCTACGTGAATGATTGAAGTGAGTCTTTTCGAGGGGAGCTGTCTCTGTGTTTGGGAAGTACAGCGTGGCGCGATGGAGACGATGAAGCAAAGAGATGCTATCACAGCATCCCACATAAACCTCTCTGGAGGCAGACGAAAGGAGCGGACATGTTTGTTTGTGTTTATACTCAGAGTGTGCATGTTCCAGATCAATGCAACGATAAAACTGGTGATGGAAAGAAATGGCTGACTGGATAAATAATTTGGCACATACAGAAACAGCTTTTTTGGATTAGAATCTCCAAATGTACGAGTATGACATTCAATAACCATTTTGTACAAAACCTGTTCCTCCCAAAGATTATTTTTAAGGCAGAGAACAACTCAACTGCCACAACAATCTGGTCATTACTGCATGACTTTAAATATATGTATATATTCCTAATATGTGACATTTGTCTTCAAAAGCTGCTGAATTGTGAATTGTGCAGGAAACATTGCAAAAAACATACACAGTTATGTTCTAATGTTAGTCCTGTACATCAGCTTTAGCCTCAAAGAACCTTGAATCTTGTTCCAAAAGCTCATATAACACTTGACTTTAAATTGAAGACCATATGTTTTAACAGCACTATTTCCTTGTGTCAATATTTTACAAGACGTGAAATACATACCCCAAATAACACTTTCCCGCCTCTCTCTAAAATACCTTTCCTTAACAGACAACATCCATCACTCTATATCAACCTATCACTCCTTTTTGCAAGTCTCTGTGTGACTTTAATTCTTCCATGTTTCAGTAATATCCTTTAAATGTGTCCAGTCCAGACACAGTTAAACACAGGAATCGGATGTGAGATGTTGCCTGCCAGTGCACACAGAAATAACAAAATAGTACGAAGAGAGAGAGGCTCGCACTTCATTTGGCAGAGGGATGCAGAGAAGTGTACTCCAGTTCATCGGCCTCCTGGGGAAACCCTGGCAGAGCTACATTCGGCATATTAACACTACTGCACTCATAGGCCTGATGCTTGTATCCAGAGGAGCAAGCTGCCTCTACTGCTGACACTCATGACACTCTGTACACAAGCCTACAAATTATATCACTCTGTGTTGTGTATCAAAAAATTATTTTGATATTACATGCCAAGCTTAATTCAGTAATATGGGGTCCCTAGAGACATTCCACTACTTGTGCTAGACAAAATACTGCAGAAGAACGGTCGGAGAGAATTTGGGCCTGTGTGTGAGTGTGAGTGTGCGTGTGTGTGAGTGTGCGTGTGCGTGTGCGTGTGTGTATGCGTGCGTGCGTATGTTGAATGAGTGAGGGGTTGGAGCCAAATCTGCTTCATCCAACCTACGTTCATACTGTGTATTTGTGTTCATTTGGTACCCTGTTTAGTTTTTGTTGAATGTGTACACATGATTGAATTAAAATAATAACATAAAAATGTATTAAGGACACATGAAAAAGGGACAATATAAAAGACCAACCTGTGATAAAGAATGTGGATGTGCATGTCCGTCTGGCACCGCATCTCTTCTCATCTCAGCTGGAATAATCAGCTTCTGGAAGTTGGGAGATTTGATTTGCCTTTCGGGGAGACACAAATGATAAGTCCAGATAAGAAATGCAGTGTGTTTATAATTTCAATACGGTAATTTTGGAAATATCAAGCATTAAACAAGAACAAAAACACAAGATGTTTGAATGAGATAGCTGAATGAAAAGTTAAGTTATGTATGAGGGCAGTTCACAAGTGGTTGAGAGTACGTGTTTAGTCTCAGTGACAGAGAAGACCAGGACAAGACCAAACACGAGTGATGCTGGTGAGACGCTGCTGTGTAAATCATTCAACAACATAACACAAACAGATGCAGACACAGGCACATGCATGTTTAATGACACACTGCACAGTGATATACTGTAATATAGAGGAACACAGCAATGACCAACATGACTTCACTTTTCTGCTGGCTGCTCTCTTGAGGAACTGGTTACAATACTCAATACGGCTAACAATAGTTCAATGAATTTGTATGAATTAAAAGATTTAATGCTCAAGAACTAAACCATGTGATCACTACTTACTATTGTATTGTTACTACATTGCACAAGTTACTTTAGCAACCTTTGCTTTTTTATTGTGGATGCCAACTAATACAGCCACAGTAAGGAATTAACATGTTCTTCTTATTGATAAGACTAAAGGAAATCAATGAATGCATACATTATAGTTCACTTTTTTGAGAATGGGTCCCACATTTCAATATTGTGCAGTATTTAGGATACAATAAACTTGTAATTAATACTACAGAAAAAAGAAAATTAGGCAGCATAGAAATGTTCTCAGAACATTTAAGTGTTTGTTTTCTGCATAAATTGTGATTGAAAGTCTGATGGGGTTGATAAGCAAGAATTATGTTTAAGAAGGTGTTGATGCATTAAATGGATCGATTTACTAAAAGGATAGATTACACGATGATGAACAATAATGAATTATGTGACATAGGTTATATTATGGTATGGCCTAAGGCTGACTTGTACCTTGCATCAAGACTGCAGAGAAACATACACCGACACACAGCACTGACTCAGTAGCACATATGTCCACACATTCAGTCTCACAAAAAGCAGAGGAAAGTGCGAAGGAGCTGACAGTGACAAATTAGTGCTTAAGAGAACCCTCCGACACTGTAAACAAGCTGTGACCACGCAGCTGCTCGCCTCGCCCACATTATTATTCTACATCCACACTACACTGTTGACTCTGGGCACCTCTGACAAGACACCCCCACATACGCACAAATATCTGCTGTCACAGCCTACAGAATACCCTATGTGTCCACGCCACTTTCAGCAGTTGTAAAAATAGCCAGCATGATGAATAATTAATACACTTAACGTTTTGCATACTGTATAAGGGGGCATAGATTTTCTCCTTCCTTTTTGGAACATATTAAGTAGGAGTTCTTGACCCTTGTTCCAATATTTACATGTGTAATGGCTGTCCTTCCTGTTATATGTATATAGATTTTAAAATTCCAGATAAAGATAGTGGTTTATTTGGGAAAAGTAAATGTAAGGGAGTGTGTCTGGGCAACGGTGGGAACCAGGCTGTTTATATGGAGCTTTGATGTTTCTGTGAATGTTTTTATTTGCTCTGAGGCATGTCCATAGAGAGTCAAACTTGCCATGAGGGCATATCACCTATCAGTCGGAGGGACTACTGGCACAGGTGTAAAAACTAACAGACGCACTGCTGCTTTTTGATAAACGATACGCCCTCATCAAGCCTTCAGCACCACAGATGAGGTAAGTGTTTTGATCAATGGAGAGGCAAATGAGGTGCTCGAGCAACAAGTATTTGAGTTTGGCTGGGAAATTGTGATATTTGTGATTTGTTGATATCTAAATGATTGAATTTATGAAGGTGAAAAGTATTTTATGGCAATGACATTTATTAGCGAGGCAGCACGCACAAGAATTCATTCTCTAAATGGACTGTAATAAGTAATTTTTCATGTTTCCTATTTGGAGAGCTCCCTGTTTCCTTCGTCCAACAAAAGCAACTCCAATTCAATTCTGGCTGTCAATGCGTACAGCTCTCGTTGTGTGGAGTCACATATTTTGTCTGCACTCTTCTATTTTCTTTATCATTTTTTATGAACTTTTCTTTTACTGATTTACAGTTGTGTTATCTTAAAGGAAAGGAGGATTTAACTGTAGAGAAAGAGCGCCCAAAAGCAGGAAGCTGTGGTCACTTCATGCCACCGCTCCCACATCTGAATGTGGGAAACCGTGAATATCAAGTCGTTGCTGGAACAAGTTGTGCTTTCTCATTGGACAGATCTGGATATCAGGTGAAAAGGCATAAAAATAAAAAATAAAAAAACATTAGGAGAAATCCAGATTAAGATGCTTTTTACATATTACTCTTTACCTCCTCAAAAAAACTACCCTTGAAAAAACTAAAAACTGCACTGACTAGAAATGTCCAACTTTTTGGCAAATAATATTTGAATCATCAATCAATTTACAATTAACTTGACTTTGACAACTATGCACTATATCATTTAATGTTTTTCAAAGAAGCCATATACAGGCATGTATTAGTGGTAGGTTTTTAAAAACTAGTCCATTGCAGAAAATAATACGTTCTTTTATATATTTCTTTCACAATCTTATGATGACCTGAATACTTTGGTAATACTGATCCAATTTAGCTGTGCTGCCAACTGGAAGATTGAAAATGGCTGAGTGTGGGACTTTCCTCAACTTTTCCTTTTATTTCACAAAGGAATGGTAGATAATTGGCCTTGTGACTATGTTCCAACAGTAACACTCTGATTAGAGGGGACATTTTTGTGTCTAGATACACCTCTCAAATACAGAAATGAAATCAATAGAAAACAGGCCCAGTCAGTAAGATCTGTGTGCTATTGAACATGTTGCATTGTCAATCTGAAAATAAATGTGTATGTGAAGATAGAAAGATTGTGTATTACGATTAGTGATATAATAATATAGTGATATAACAATATACGTATAATCCTGAGATTCTCATATAAATTTAAAAATGAAAAATTGTGATTCCGAGAATTAAAAAAAAATAAAATAAAAAATTGCATTGAATTCTGGCCTGTATTATATGTATCAAATAACCAGATATAAGTTAATGCAGTCAAATATTTCCGATAGAATAACACTTAATAATAACACTGTAAATGCAATCAGCAAGATTTTAATTTCAATCCAGGGTTAACCTTTCAAACAAGCTCAGAGTCCGCTCATTAATTACAATGGGAGATTATGTTACTTGAATGATCAATTATTTTCAGTAGCATGAGTCACAATGGTGTAGACACACGCGAAGTGCGCCAAAGTGCCCCGATTCTGTTGTGAAGAAGTCTAAAGTGGAGCTGACTGCTGGTGGAGGTGGTGCCAAAAGAACCACTAAACAAGCAAAATGTCCGTTCAAACAAGAAAGCAAAGCTATTATCCACGTTAGGTGAGTAGAAAAGACCAAAAGTGTTAGCGACTCTCCCCAATCATCATTCTGTACATTTGAGTGTAGCTTAATTTTGGGGGTACTAAAATCTATGTCTTGGATTCGGCAAGTTGTAAAGCTTAAAATCCAATTGTTTCGTGAAATAAACTGGAGGGTAATGGGCTCTGACTCAGCACAGAGGTCTCGTGCCAGAGTAGAGTCTATAAAATGGGTAATAAATGATGAATGAAATGCTTGAATTCAGTGCACACAGTCAGTTGAGATACATCCCAAACTATTTCAAACCACAGCTAACATATTTGGCACAAGTGATGAGGCCAAGGCAAGGTCAGCATTGTTATCAGTGTAAAGGATTTTGTCAGTTATAATAGACATGTTTATGGTATTTAAACACCTTCATTTGCAGCCGGATATCACTTCTCGATAATCCATGGATCAGTTGATAATTGAGTGGAATCCTGTTAGCAATAACTGCAGCAGATTAACAGATAGAGTTTGGACCTGTATAATTCTAAATACTTATACAGCCAAATGTCCTACGTTATTTTTATTTTTTTAAAGAACATCTCTTTAAACATTAATTAAGACCCAACACAAATGATTAAAGTGAGTATTGTATGTGAAGTAATAGACATGCAATAGGATTATTAACAGGGGTTGTTGCCCATTTGTTTTAGCACATTTATTGACCCAGTGAGGTTGTCAAAGCAAGAAGTGTGGGAATCCAATTTAAGGCATTGTAAAGTTTTCCACAATTATACCTGGGAATGTTGTATAGGAGCCATCAAGACGAGTGGGTAACATAATTAGTTTAGTTATAGCTTAAAGTAGATACGTTTCATGCATTTTGCCACTTTACATAAAAACAATGTGCTGCCATGCTGTATAGTTTGGGAAAGCGGCAAAAACAACTTGCATGGTTGAAGATACATGATGAAGATGGATACAATAAGAGTTAAAGGTGCAGTAAAGGATTTTTTTTTCTTAGCAGTAGCATGCGAGTCAAAACCACAATCCTAAATTAGGGTTCAAGTCTGTGAGCAGTTTTCTTGCCATACTTGACAAGCACTAGCTTCCCCAAAAAGGTGAGTGCACTGACGAAAATCAGGAGGGGGGAGAGGGGGGGATGAACGCATCCCATTGGATTATTTATATCGGTCCACTCTAAAATATTTATGTTCGTCCAACATAAGCAACTCCAATTCAATTCTGGCTTTCAATGCGTATAGCTCTCGTTGTGTGGAGTCACATATTTTTAGTCTGCACTCATGAACATGATAACTTGACTACTTTTGGGGTTTGACGTTTCCCCACAGTATTTAAAGAATTGCGCTTGGATAAATCATTGACTGCATCTTTAACTGATTCAACAGATTACCAAGGAAACAGATTACAATTTGTAATGAAGATGCAGATAAAACATTTTAAATCAAAAACACTCATTTTCAAACTTACCCAGGCCTGCAGACAGAGGGAAACATAAGAACAGAGGATAACTTTGTTAACATAGACTAGTATTTGCATTTCTGTGTTAAATTTTACAGTATTGTTAACTGTGAACTTCAAATAATTATTCAACCCACATCAGAAAATGTCTGCTAGAATGACACAATATTGTTTGAATATTGTCATGTAAATACCATCCATCCCGTGTGTATCCCATCTGATGGATATTGCCCACTCAAAATATAAATGTTTGTATTTCTAATGAGATGGTAAAAAACAATCTGTTCTTGGTGAAGATTTATCTATTCTTGCCATGTATGCTTGACAAAATGGTATAAAAACTGGAAGGAAAAAACACCACCGATGGTAGCCGGCTACCGGAGAGCAGGCTAAATGTATGAAATCTCATGGATAACACAATGCAGTACTTGTATCGGTATTAGCAAATCCTCAATGAAAAGGTACTCGTATCGGTTTTGAAAGAAGTGATATCTATATTGGTGCTTTGTGAATTGGGGGACAGCTTATTGCCAACTCCCCGACCCAGAAATGGAATAAGGGGAAGAAAATGGATGGATGGATGGTATCGGTGCATCCCTTTCTCTTGACAATTGTTGTAGTTCTGGTTGAGGCTTGTCCGCGTACTTAAAGGTATATAGGACGATTATCTACTTCCGGGTGGATCATCAAGACTATTGGTCCTCCTGGTCAATCCTTCTGGTGATTTGTGTTCAAAAAGCGGAGAGAGTAGTTCTCTTCTAAAATTTGGGAAAACCCTTCTATATAACTTTAAATTGTAATTCCAATCCAGAGACAGGTTTGACAGGGCAATGTTAATGAATAATTTTACATTTAATAATTCCCAGATAAAATGTTGGTTGTGTTCTAATTCACAAAGAGAAATTCTCAGCCCAGAGACTATGGCCTTTTTGACAAATCGGTCAAAATGAAGTATCTCTGGTGTAGGCCACAGTATACACAATTTAATTTCGTTGTTTGTTTACGTATAGTTTATGTATAGATCCAGTCTTTGTCTATGAATGTGTTTGTGCCTCACCTCTCCAGGTCAGTTATCTTTTTGTCCTTGAAGGTTCTGTCCGTCTCTGCGTCCCTCAGAGCCCCCATCAGCCGGTCTACTTCAGCCTGGGACTTGACCGACTCCTCTCTGTAACGGGACACTTCCTGCTCCAGCAGCTTCAGACGCTCGGTGATGTCAGGGCTTCGGGATGTCCCATTTAAACTCGGCCTCTTTGAACATGAAAGAGACAAGTGGTATTTTAGACAAACATTTTCAGATCAAAGAAATTATAAATGCGAAGATGCAAACAAAACAATGGTAAGAGCATTAAAGGAGTAAATTAAAAAGTAGTAGAGAATGTCAAAGACTGGTATTTGGAAACTGAAATGACTCATGTCTAGTGAGATGAGACACTGTGGGGATGTGATGTTGTAAAGTGACCATCAAACAAACAAGACAACAAAGGATACTTTATTAGAGAAAGAACCTGTAGGGTATGAAGCAATGGTCCTACTGTGTACAAAGGGACAGATGGGGCAATGTCCAATTGTCTTCATTTGTATGTGCTGTACTTCGTCAATAAAACCCGTCTCTCAAGATCTTCAAACAGGAACAAACACACTGGTCCAGGATATAATCTACCAAAATGCACTATGAATCTCTGTACAACTCAAATGAGACATTCATTTCAGTTGGGTCCACATACTGGTCATGCTCTCTTTAGTTCCAATTGGGCAAGGTCAACAAATGTCATAATCCACAGACAGCGAGTGAGGGGGCTTCCGCGTTCTGACCTCCATCTGTTTGGAGGCCCAACCAGAACCCTCTGTCGCACTTTGTTAAGTCTGACCCGAGAGAAGTAATTCAGAAGGAAGACCAGGGAGAGCAGGGCACCAGGCCTGACCTGAGGGTGGACAGCACACCGACTATCTCCCAGACCATGTGGAAGTAGGTCCGAAGAGCAGATCAGATCCGACTTACATTTGATGGTCAAAAGTCTTTGTGGGATTAAGTAAATCCATTGAAAAAGAGAATGACTTTGTCTACCAATGCTACATTGACCCTCTTAGTTAATTGTACCAATGGTCATAAACAACTCGCGGAGATTGAAAATGAGTGCTTAGATCTTGCAGCTAACTCAACAAAGGGGCGTGTGTGTCATGTAGTAGCAGAACTAATACGGCAACCTTGACTTAAGATGAACACTGAAATGGCCCAGGGGTCACGTGTGATCAAATGCCACCCGGGCAGCGCAGAGTCCTCCAGGAGAGGTAAGTTAATGCTGAATGTGGTCAGAGTCACCATTTAGCCAATGCATGTCCAATCGCGCTCATCCGCTCTCATCCCATAATCACCACATGGTCCCCTGTGTTGCTTTTCTGTGGTTGTCCTCCTCGGGCCATCCTTCACATCTAGTTTGGAGTTCAGTTATTATCATTACAAAATTACTGTCTGCTCATGTTTGTCTGAGGGATTTTATGAAGCCACCAAACATGTCCACATTTTTCTTATGTATAATGTTTGAAGTCAATAAAGCACTTAAGACTTTCCCAAGAAAAATATCCCAAAGGAAGAATGCAACCTTAAATTACCTTTTCCATTATTTCTATCTTACCGCAGTCCATATTTGTCTTATTGTGCAAGGAAAGATAGCACTAAAGGCTCTCATTAAACCATCAAGAAATGAGTTAGAGACAGGCCTTTGTGTTGGAACATCTATTTTTGTACATTAAAGTGGTTTTAGTGTATGTATATGCCCTTATGCCTTTTTTGGTTGAAACGTATATGGAAAAGAGATGGAGGAAGCAGTGCTCATTTGTTCCAACATCTTGTTCAACTCTTTACATTTTCTAACATTTCTCCAGGAATAATACACCCACTTGTGCCCGGCTGTACAAATGCCAAAGCCCATGTAAAATGAGGAACACCTTTCCTGATAAAACGAGCAGCTCCTCACCACAGAACCCCCGCGTCTGGCCTCAACTCTATCGCACACATCAAAACCAATCTAAACCTGAACAAAATACATTAAGTCTAAGTGGAGTGGAATTTGTTATGAACATTTCAGTGGAAAACACCGGTGTCACTGGAGCCAGGGTTCAAAGATCAGCCCAATGTCCAACTGGACCTTTTTATATTATGACAGAACATGAGAGCCAGCTTGGATACAGTTACAGTCTGCATGTGGCTGTGAAAAGTATTATTATCATTCCAATGAGTTTTTCTTTCTGAGTAAATGTTACAAATTAAGTAAACGTGTGTGGTGGTGAAGTTTTACATGGTAATTGAATTCCCATTGTGAGGTAAAAATCTATAATAGATCTGGCAGTAACCGTTACTGTACAGCACTCTGAAATAACAAATCCACAGGCACAAACAAAATATACATAAAACCAATTACTTTGTAATTATTAATTCCTAAAATAACACAAAAATATTTGGGATTTTACAAAAATACTCTGATTTAGCTGCGCCTTGGCGAGCGCCTTCCCTGAAGTATTTTTTTGAGAAATTATTATTTACTGGAAATTCTTTATTAACTTTGGAATCAATCATGTTTAATGCAGAGTATAAAGATACATGGATGTCAGCTGTAAGACTTTGAGGTAAAGAGCTCTGTGACTTCAATAAATATCTAATAAAAGCAATATTTACTGTCTAAAGTGCCAGCCATTCAGAGAGTTAGAGACTCTTGTTTAAAACATGGTGTGTCAGCATGTAAGAAAACTACAGCGCTGTGATCACACCTTTCAAGTTGACATTTTGTTGGAAGAACAGCAAGGCAATTAAAAGTGTGTTTATACATTTAATCATATATTATAATTAGTTGCATTCACAAAACTATGCATTTGTCAGAGCATTCCCAAAAATGATTATAAAATTAAAATCTCATCAAAGATCACAGTTCGAGTCATAAAAACAAATGTATGATGGCATATGAAAAGAATGCTGTAAAGGTAGAACAAACAAAGTGATTATAGATTATAGAGACACGCCACAATGGCTCACTGTGTGCTAACATAAACAACAACTTTAAAGGTTTGTGATTAGTGTAAATGACGAGCATTATTATCAACTTGTGTAACTCTGTGTAAGTGGTAGGTAGCAAAAAAGTCATAAAACAAGACCCAATTTTCCCATAAAGTTGTCATAGAAATGGTTTGAATATTGCACCATCCAAGTCAGTCATGCTGAGGTTAGATAATAAGTACTTGGGGAGCTCTAGACCACTTCATATATTACACAATTAATATTTTATGTATCCTGTGGTTGATTTACTATGATATTGACAGGGATATTTCAGACCAAAGCTATTTGTTTTATTATTATTATTAATTTTAATAATTCTTATGAGTTACAAGAGCCGATAGCCACGTCGGTCCAGCTTTGACCCCTGAAGGCTGTATCAAACATGGACCGAAAAACACCCAGACTTCATTTTGAAGTTTACATAACAAGTCTGACTGCTGCCAAGTACACAAAATAGTGCAATCATGGTCACACTTCTGTCAAGAGTGAGAATTTACTCTCGACAAAAATGAGTGAGCTGCTATTTCTTTCATGTGGTTCCACGTCAACATTCAGCAAGATATCATTTCATATGAACAAGATGTGTGCATCATATAAAAGAAGCATTCCCATAAATTCTGCAGACTGTGTTCTGGCTTGTAAACCTGAGTGAGGAGGAAGAGAGAGTTAAAAGACAACAGGGCCTCTGACCTGGCAACCATAGTGGCATAGCGGGATAGTTTAGGCCATAAATCACCCGCTTTTAATACAGCACTTAATCCTGTAAGCCAGTAGTGCAAAAAGGCCCTTTGCCACAGACATGTTACAGTCAACTGCACACTGGGAGGTAGAGTTAAGAGTGGATGTTATCTGGATAAATACAGAGCGCAAACAGCATATTACAACCTCTGTACAGTAGCTAGGACTTATTTTCTTTATTGTGCTATAAAGATAATTATGAAGTATGTTCAAATTCTTTTGAAAAAAGACCAACATGTTTGAGAGAAAGGTAGTTATTATTGGCTTTTATAGTATGGACTTTTCACCTTTTGTCATGGATTTCAAATATATATTTCACATATTATTTGTCATGGATTTCACTATAATTAGACATGTCAATGTGAACAGAGAAACAACAAAATTGCTTATATGTGTAGTTTTTTCAACCTATACTGGCTGAAGGAGAAGATATCGATTTTGTAGACAGTTATAATGCCATTCTCAAGACAAACAGAGAAGACAGGACCATGTATGCCCTGGACACCAGCATACACAGCCACGGCAGAGGTGAATGAATGAATGAATGAATGAATGAAATTTTTATTTTTGGTCAGTTGTTTGATCAATAACACATTACATTCACTGACTATTTTACAACCAAAAATAGGATTGGGCTGAAGCAACTTGCTTGTATAAGCCCAACCTGACATCATGACACATACAGGTCATTAGCTACTACACAGCAACTATATAAACAAACAAACAAAAAAGTACACATTACTGATTTAAAAGATAAATTACACATTTGGTAGAACAATGTATTTTTATTTTTATTTCACTTATTTCTTTTTGTTATATCTTTATTATTATTACTTCTAAGACAAGATATATGACTTAATTATTTCACATTTTAAGGTAGTTTTAAATAATGATAATGTATTAATTAACTTAAGCTGGTCATTAAGATTATTCCACATTTTTACTCCAATGACAGACACACATCTATTTTTAACGTTAGTTCTGGATTTTCTTGTTTCCAACTGAAGAAAACCTCTCAGATTATAGCAACTTTTTATTATTTTGAAGAAAGACTGAATACCTACAGGAATCTCTTTGGTTTTTACAACTCTGAATAAGATTTCTAAAATGTTTAACTTAACTATGTCCGTAAATTTTAGCATGTTATGTTCTATAAAAAGTTGGTTAGTAGAGTCACGATAACCCACTTTATTTATTAAACGTACTGCCCTTTTTTGTACTTTAATTATAGGATCTATATGTGTTTTATAAGTGGTTCCCCAGATCTCTGAACAGTAAGACAAATAGGGAAGCACAAGTGAAGAATAAACTATATGCAGAGATTTAATATCCAACACATGTTTAGTTTTATAAAGTATACCAATTGTTTTTGATATTTTACTCTTGACATATTGTATATGTGGTTTCCAGCTGATCTGGTGATCAATAATCACCCCTAAAAATCTAATCTGATTGACTCGCTCTATTTCAATCCCATTCCAGTACAATCTTATATTAGAATGAGCTCTACAGGGTCCAAAAATCATGAATTTTGTTTTATTCTCATTTAATGATAAATTGTTTAAGTCAAACCATTTTTTAACTAAAGTCAACCCGGTTTCAACCTGTTCAATTAACTTATTCATGTCATACCCTGAGCAAAACAAATTAGTATCATCAGCAAAAATCACTAACTTCAGTATTTTTGATACTTTGCAGATGTCATTAAAATAAAGAATAAATAAATTTAGAGGTGACGCTAAAATGCTATTTTTGGACATTGGTCATCTGCCCCTCATGGACCAATCACTCTAAGTGTTTTTTATCATTACATTTATTGTGTTATAACTCTCATTCTCTGCTCTGGGTTGGCAAATTCAACAGTTTTGTAAAGTCCTCCAAGATAACTGCTGTTGTGATTAGGAGTGGGAACCTAAGGGTACCTCACGATACGATACGATACACGATACAAAGCTCACGCTAACGATAATATCACGCTAACGATATTACGATAACGATTTTATCATGATATGACGATTATTGATATATTGGTCAGAAATATACAATATGCCAATTTATGGCATAAATAAAAGAAAAAATACTCTTTATTTCATGATAAATAGAATGGAGATGCGTAATGTAGCCATATATTAAGTATTGGTGCCAATCAAATCGCGGGAGAAAGTATCGCGATATATCACACCCCTAGTTGTGATTTAGGGCTATACAAGAATACTAGCTAGGCTAAAACAACATGAAGGTCTATGATGAAAACACAGTGCCGCGTCCTGCCCGTAGTCCTGCCTCACCACCACAGTTAGAAAACAGGGTCCGTATGCATTAAGATGTTGAGAGTCCTCTCAGAGAGCTCCAAACTTAGGAGCTCTCTTAACTACTAGTCTTAGCTTAAAAATTATTCCAGAACATTCTCAGAGAACTCTGAGCAAGGAATGGACAAAAACTCCAATCTTAGTGAGGAGGCGTGGTCGACTCCGTTGCTAGTATTAGTCATCGATTTAGGCGCTGTGATTGGTTGATCCAAAAAGTTAGAGAAAACATAATTTTGGTGATAATGGGAAAAATAAAGACCCTCAGGGCACAGTCACATAGGTTTTTACAAACAAACTAGGCCAAGTGGCCCGGATCGTCACCACAGGGGTGTGAAGAGGGATTTTTATTGCAAAAGTGCCAGAGCAACTGTGCTATAGTACAATGCTCTGTCCAGCTGGTGGCGCTAATACTAACTTCAGCGACTACCTCGTTGTCCGAGTTAAGTGGGACACGTGTGTGTCTGCGTGTGCGCGAGCGCGCCACGGACATGGGAGTACGCTTTGGATTAAAGAGCGTAAGCACTGAGAAATGAATGAATGAGAATGAAAGAATGAAATGTGTGGCGTACGAGCAGAGCGACTGGAGCCAGGCAGGATACAAGTGTGTGTTAAATGTCTGAGGTGTTATTGCAAAAGCACCACACTGTGACAGCAAGGGTCAGGACAGAAGGTAGTTATTCCCCGTAGGAAACGCATCCCTTTGGCCCTGGAGCGACACACTCCCCAGCGGGGAGAATACAAGCGGGGAGAATACAAAAGTATGCGACTGCTGTAGAGACGTGTGTGAAAATGCGCATCACAACGGGCGCAGCAGGAAGACGTAATGTGACCGAATTTGATGCACAATATCACATCCCCACCACAACCGTGCTCAGCCCCACCTCTCCCAAGCGTGCCCAAGCCCAGTTTCCGCGGTCACATAGCACCTAAAGCCCGGATCTAATCGCAAAGTGGACCCAAGCCCACTTTTACCGGGCTTTAGGCTGTGCATGGGACCGCAACCTTAAATGGACAAACTTAATCATCTAAACTTAGGAAGACTGTGTCATTGTAAATACTATTCTGCATAAAAGATAGACAGACATATCAATGAAAAACGAATACTGTGAATAGTAAGTTATACTTTTAAATCATCATACAGAATGTGTGAAAACGTAGGCCCATACATTTATTTTTATGACGTAGGCCCACTTGCACAGTATTAACACAGTGATAGTTACATGTATTTGCTTATAATATTTGCTATGCTGGTCATTTACCATTTCTACTCACTTTGGTGTAACAAGGGTAAAATGGCACAGCTGTGATTGCTAACCAGCCTATAAGAAGCTGTGTTGGTTGACTTTCATTTCGGGTGGTACTGTATTGTGGCGTTGGAGAAGTGCGTCTCTAATCTATCAACCACAAACATGATTCCTGCACTCCTGATCCAATCTGTAGCGTTTCACTAAATTACTGTCATCCAGTGTTTGTAGAATATCTCTCCTGCCTCTTCCGTCTGCCATTTTGTTCTTAAGTCACTAAAAGTCCTCCTCTCTAATCTTAAGAGATCTCACCTTAAGAACTAGTATTGTTTAGGAATAGCTTTTTTCTTAACTTAACTAATTCTAAGTGTACATCAAGATTCTAAGAATATTCTTTGGCCACTGCACTGGGAGCAACTCTTAGCACTAAGAATCTTTAGGAATATGGCCCCAGAACTTTAAAACTCACACTGTTGTTAAACAGAAATTTGGCAAATGTTTTGTTGGGGTTTCAGTGTGTTCTGCATACTTGATGCTTGTTGCCTGGATATGTTTAATTGAAACTTTTGGACATAGGTCAGAACATCTTGAACGCCCGTGTTGCACATTTGGCCACGTTTCAATACTGCACTTTAGGCTTTCTGAAGTGCAAGATTGTCTATTTTGATGTCCTGTTATTATTGCCTGAGTCTATTTTGGTCTGTTTAATGTATTATCTATGAGAGACAATAAAGAAGTATCACATCTTATCTTAATACTCTCAGCGTGAAGAAAGTTGCGCATTGTTTCTGTGTGCGTAATGCTGTTATGTACAAACCACAGCAATGTGCCTCCTGTTGTTTTAGCACGAATTGTTTTTGCGTGGGGAGCGTTTGGATGCAGGTCCGTGCTATTATTGTCAATCTTTAAACCTGTCTGTGGTACAAAGAAGGTTGGAGATTGCAGTCGCACGTCTGCAATGTACGGCCCGCCACTGCTACTTAAACATACTGACCTCTGCTTCGATGCGCTGGGTTTGGCCGGGGGCAGGGCTTGTTGATTGGTTGTTGCTCTGCAGTGGTCTTTGAGGCTGTAAGGTAGATAGTTTGTCTTTAAGTTCCTTGTTTTCCTTCCGCAGGAGCTCCATGTCTTCCAGCTTCATCCTGTCTTCTCGTTCTTTTTGTTCTCGCAGGTTCTCAATCACACGTTCCTAGCAGTGCAAAGATAAGAGGTGTCATATAGCAGAAGGATCAACGCAAGGCTGCATTTTTTTTTAGCATAGTTCAACTCATGAAATACTTTGCGTTTACATGACAGTCCGAAGCAGTAGTTTTGTTATCTCGTAACATGAATCGTCACACTTCAATAAGAGTGTGTCAAGTCTTAGCTCTTATGAAGGGCCCCAGTTCATCAAGTTCAGTAAATAACAGTATGGAATTTATAGTATGCCTTTATTGTGCAAGGATAGCCATTCAATCATTTTGTTTTTTAAATCTGACTCGATTCATGAGCAAAATGTCTTGCCAGCAGGCTTCACGGAGCGCGGCCAAAGACAAACTCATAAATGCCATTCATAAATAATACTTGCATAAATAACAGTGAAGAAGGACAACCAGCGCCAAGTGGAACAGCAAGAGAATGAGGAAGGGAAGGAAAAGTGTTGAGGGACAAAGACAGATTTATAGAGATTTGAATTGGAATGAAGCGCGGATCACTTGTGAACAGCTTTGCATTGCCAACTGATAAACCGGACCGCGAGTGTAACTTTTTTCTCTAATCTCGTTGGACATCAGCCTGACAGAGATGGAGAGAAGGTGTGTGGAGCGATTATAAAGGTGTTTATTCAGGTGTTTATTTAGGCACACAGTACAGCCCGGCAACCAGGCTTTACGATGTGGCATCACCGCATGATTGGCAGCTCCAAACCCCCGGGTAATTGGACAAATACTCCCCCAAAACTAAAACTGGCACTGTACACCACTGCATACAGGGCCTTCGCAATAGACAAAAAGAAACAAACCACATGGTTAATAGGCCCTGGGTGTTTTCCCCACATTATAAAATATCTGAAGGATGTTTGGGGTTTAGGGAAAGAGACCAGGATGTGATAATAAAAATGGCCTCAAAGAGATTTTAAAGTGAGCCATTTGCTTAAACACACATAACACCCCAACCAGAGGAAAGAAACTTATTTGTAACTAATTTTGTTGTAAATAAAGTTGTATTTTAGATAGCATGCGCAGTTTTGGTGAGAATGGGGAACTCAACATTACACATCTCATATAAGTTTTACTTGGACATAAGAAATTTGGGCCACTTTTACGGACCACCTTTTGAACCCAGGCAGAGACATATACCAAAACTCATATAGAGCCAAGGCCTGTAGCTCCAGCCAGTTAATTAGGACCGCAGAACTGTGGCTAGTGCCTGGCTCCAACAGCCAGTTTGTGACAGGCTGTGCAATTAGCAACACACACTCTGCCTCTTGTAAACACAAATACACACACCCTTTCTTCACCACAAAATCTAAAAGGCTCAACCAGCACACTCCTCATCACTGCTAAATGCTGTGTAGGCGACATCTGAAGTGGTTTCTGGGCAAATACATGGGTTGACAGAAAAAGAAGTAGCTTTTTATAATGCTATGACCCTGTCCATTTCAAAGGCTTCGCACAACACACAAACACATTTAGGTGATAAAAGATGATTTTAGGCAAAAACATTGGGTTCCATTGAAGTTAGCCAAGAGGATGCACATATCAACAATTCCCCATTACACAATGCTGGCAAATGACAGAGTAAGCCTTTGATGTAAGTAAGCATGGAATAAATACGCCTCCTCTCCAGTGAGTTTTTTCAAGTAATACATGCAAATTCAATACATTTGCTTGAAAACAGATGCAAGACAATACACCATTTTTGAGAAAAAGAGCTCGGCATTTGCATCTGGCATCATTGGGAATTCTTAGCCAGCAATCAATGCCAACACAATGTAAACCAGAATCCATCTTTTGGTTTACAATAGAAACAAACATCAGACTTGGAAGTCCTTTGTATGCCTATTGTGCCAAAGCAATCATTTTAGAACATGTTCCTAACAATATGCGTGCTTGTACTAACTTAGAGCATGCAATCGACCAAAGCAAGAGTTCTGCTGAAGTCAAGCCAGATTCTATTTGGACAGGCAAGACTGTTTGACATTTTATGTCCATATTGAGGCCAATATATAATGTCTAATCTGCCTCCAATTAGAAAATAGATATCTCCAAATGAGAATAATATGAGATTGGGAATCCTAATAAGAATAGGACTGAACCAGAACTAGTACTTTATTTAATATGGATAACTGTTCCAAAGCAGCTAAGTTGTAACTTAGGAGCTTAAATCCCTAATATTTACATGCGTATGTCGTCCACTTGTTAGAAAGTTTTCCCTTCATAAAATGTGAAGCAGGCAACACTATGTGGTAGCAATAAACTTTGGAAAATGTCGGAGTCATTCTATTTTATTCTCATGTGGTTACCTTGATTATACCGGACTTAATTCATAACTTTTTTTTGCATTTTATGAAAACTTTACACTTGACACCCCCTCTGTTATAATTTCTATATTCTCTCCACTCTTTCCATAGATCATCTGTATCCAGTACAGTTACAGACATGAACTTATGCCGTGGTGATGTAAACAGCAGTCTATTCTATCCCCAGTCTGCATAGCACACCTCGTCTCGTGTGGTCCACTGCCTATAAATTGCAGAATGATGTCAGTAAATAGGGACGGTGAGTCATAACAAAGCATGCACTTTAATCAGGCATACCTTTGACCAACTTCCTGCAACACCCATTTTTCCCTGAGCTAGATGTACCTTTTCAGACAGGGCCTCCTCCAATGTGGCCAAGGCTGTGTCGGTGTTGCTCGAGTCGGTTTGAAGGCCTTGGACCCTTTCCCTTAACCCGGCCAGCTGTTTGTCTTTATCCCGCAATTGCTCCAACAGGTTTTCGATCTGAAAAGCAGGGCAGAAATAAAACAAGTGGAGAAGTGGATTGGTGTACATACAACATATATATATATAGTAAGTAATCTTTATTTTATTTATATACCGCCTTTCACAGACCAGAGTCACAAAGCGGTTTACAATGGTTATTTATTGGGCACTTGTCCTCTCACTCCTCACAGAGATGGGAGCGGGGTCGCCGAACAGGAGGCGCATGCCAGACCTATTGTACATATTTTTAGTGGTAGGGGAAACCGGAGTACCCGGAGGAAACCTACGCAGACACGGGGAGAACATGCAAACTCCACTCAGAAAGGCCCTTGTCCGGCCGGGATTCGAACCAAGGACCTTCTTGCTGAGAGGCGAGAGTGCTATCCACTCAGCCACCGTGCCGCATATATATATATATATATATATATATATATATATGTATGTATATATATATATAGAAAATTTGGGCAATAGAACCACTGTTGAGTGTGACGATATATCGATTTTTCAATATATCGCGATACTTTCTCCCGCGATTGATATCGATATGCATTTGCCAAGTATCGATTTAGAAAAAAAATAATAATAATCTTTTTTGTTTTTTTAAATTAGTATCAATACTTAATATATGGCTATATTACACATTTCCATTACATTTATCATGAAATAAAGTGTAATTTTTCACATAAAATTTTTCTATTTTATGTATGCCATATATTGGCATATGGTATATTGCTGACCAATATATCAATAATCGTCATATCGTGATATAATCGTTATCGTGAGCTTTGTATCACGTATCGTATCGTATTGTGAGGTACCCTTAGGTTCCCACCCCTAGTCATGTGATATGAGATTGGTATACATATCTTGAATAGAACATTTGAAAACCATTGGCTATTTTTCCAGAATTCTGTTTCTATTTTGGATCATGACAGAAAATTATGGCCATAAAAAAGTGAACTATCTCTCTGTGGCTAAGCTTGTGTCACAGCTGTGGTGGTAGAAGTTGAGTTCACAAGGCTTTATCAGATGGACACACACTCTTGTACACAACACGCTGCAAGGTTTATGAGACAAAACACTAGCAGATGCGGCTGAGGTGGGACAGTGTGCCAAAGAGGTTCCGAGGCTATAAATGCATTTCAAAGGACATCTGGTGGCTTGACAATTGCTTGTGGCATATCAACAATGTGAACACAATACTTTAAGTGTTGCAATAATTATTTTCTATAGTTAAAAAAGTAGGTCAGTTTAAAATAAATTCTTAACTTGAGTATGTTTCCATTTCTGACATTTTTAAGAGGAGACAAAGCACCATTCACTGACTTCTGCAAAGCATTAATACCACATTTGACCCAAAATGGGTTTTTTCAAGTTGTACAAAGCAGGACACACATCTACTGAAAGAATCCATTATTTTGTGAACATGAGAATCCAATATTTCCTAAAAAAAAAAAAAAAAAAGCTTTAGGTCATCAAAAAACACAGGGTAATTGAAAGTGTGACAGGGTAAAAATGGCCATGGGGGAATGGATCACATACCAGTCATGGTACGTAGACAGATAATGTCCAAATCTCTACAAATGAAGCCAATTAGATTGCAGACTTTGGTGTTCTCTATGGAGTGTACAAGTGGAAATTTAAAGGGGCCATCTTGGTTTTGGCAAAGAAGGGTAAAGGGCAGGGGGGTGGGAAAGACCCGCAAGTACTCTTGGGCAGATCTTGATAGGTTAATAGCAGTCATTACTGAACCAGCTACAGGCTCATGGGTCACTCCACAAACGATAGGAACACTCAGCCCTTCAGGGAATGACGGGAAGACTTCACACTATCAAATTCTGATAAAAGTCAAGGCAATTTATGGTTTCCGTGGGTGTGTTTGATACTTACTCCAGAGCCTGAGAAACCACTCCATTGCAACTTTCTTGAATACATCTCTTTTGATGTCAGGTTATTTATTTGAACAGACTTTGCAGGATGCAAGTAATAACACATTACATAATCTACTAACAATAGCTGGTAGAGAGATAACATGCTTATCTCTCCACTGGTAAAGAACAACAAACAACACCAATATCTAGCCTTTGGCTATTTTTGCAAAGTTGGAACTAAAAAGAGTTGTAAGTTATTCAAGTGTTTCCATTGATACATGTATACATACTTCACTCAATAACAAAAAAAAACCCATTATCAGCATTGAAATCTTCTCCAACTCATATAGGAGAAGATGGGAGTTTGTGACAAGAGTCAAGTATATGGGAAAGGAATTCTTTCATAACCCTGGGAGCCTAAACATAGTCTGAAAAGAGAAATGTCTTTTGTGGAGGTGCAGAATAGCCACATGCCTTTTTGGGAGCAAAGGGGCCTCTTCCATTCCAGTAGCATAGATGTTATGATGAGAACAGCAGCCATTCATTTTATCTCTCGGTCTATGGGGCTACCTTTAACTGCAGTCCCGCATCCCTGAGAGCCGATATCCAGCCAGACACACAGGCCTTTATCATTATACTATATATTGTCCCACTGTGAACACTTCCTCCCAAACCAGACCACCTACAGACAGCTTCAGCGTTTGTCTCTGACAGCCTGGGGTTGTGATCGTCAGAAACCATGACGTTTGGCTTAGTCATGTCCCACAGACAACCCCACTCACTCAGTTTATTGCTTTCTGTTTAGATCATGAGAAGACTTTCAGAAGGATGTGATTTATCAATACTGTTTGGTGGATTCAAATATATCCATCCTTAGAATGTTTCTATTACCACTACCACTTCTTCCACCACTTTAGGAAATATTGGTAACTAGTTTTAACTTTTAAATATTAAACTGCACTATTTTTGTTTTCATATTGAGTTGAATGGCTGATAAACAATCATTTAAAACCAATAGCGTCAGCACCACAATTTCCACTTCTTGCACAAATGGAGCTTAAGCGGAGGTTCAGTATGGTAGACTACCTACGTTATCACACCAGGCTTGACCACGCCTTACTCAGCCTGTCTTAATCAACTCCCCGCAGCCGTGTCAATCAAGCCAGCGTTTAAGAGCAAAGCAGAGCACAGCTCACCAAACGGACTTCAAGCTGCAATGGGTTGCTCTTCGTCACTTTGTTTACTCACGCTTCGCACATTGTTCGTCCTGCATGGTCGCGGCTCCTCTTCAACATCACATGTTTGGGGCTGCGCGCCATGGTCGTTGTGTCTCCACCGCGGCTCACCGCGGGTCCTCTCCTGCGGACTTGCTGCCGCTCGTCTTCCCGTGGCCGCTGCGCTCGCGGCCAGGCTCCGCGCACCCTGCCGCTTCCATACCGGGAACGGGACTTCTGTCTGCCTGCCGTTGTCTGCTGCCTCTGTCCACCCTTCTCCCTGCCTCCACTCACGGTACAGTGTCTGTTTCGTCGTTTTCCCCACTACCATGAACTGTACTGAACTGCGGCGCGTCAGTTAATCCCGCCGAATTGGCTCGCAGGCTGTGTTTTTACCCGATGCATTGATCTGCAGGCTGTTCGTTTACCATCTGCATTGGCATTTAGACCGACCGTTTTCACCATGGACCGCACATTTTAACCACTGTATTGGCCTTCTGGCTGTCCGTTTTACTCATGGGATGAACATTCTACACAATGCAGTGACCTCCAGGCTGTCCGTTTGACTATGGTCTGAACATTTTACCCACGCATTGACCTTTAGGCTGTCAGTTGTAACCATGGACTATAACATTTGTCGTCTGCATTGGCCTTTGCGCTGTCTATTTGACCGTGGACTGTAAGTTTTGCCCACTGCATTGCCTCCCGGCTGTCCGTGTCTGATGAGCTGCTCTGATTGGTCGGAGCGCGGCCGAGCCCCTTTGTACTGTTCGTTTTAACCAGTGCGTTGGCCTTCAGGCATGCTTCAACGGCCTCACTTCAACGCTTCATCGCAGCACATGTTGGCGGCCGCACACTTCAACGCCCACACGCTTCGCCGACGCCACTTCGGTGGCCGCACGCTTCGACGACGCTTCGACTCCTCCTCCACGCTTCGACTCCTCCTCCACGCTTCGACTCCTCCTCCACGCTTCGACTCCTCCTCCACGCTTCGACTCCTCCTCCACGCTTCGACTCCTCCTCCACGCTTCGACTCCTCCTCCACGCATCGACTCCGGCGCACGCATCGACTCCGGCGCACGCATCGACTCCGGCGCACGCATCGACTCCGGCGCACGCATCGACGACGGCGCACGCATCGACGACGGCGCACGCATTGACGACGGCGCACGCATCGACGACGGCGCACGCATCGACGAAGGCGCACGCATCGACGAAGGCGCACGCATCGACGAAGGCGCACGCATCGACGAAGGCGCACGCATCGACGAAGGCGCACGCCTTGACGCGGCACGCCTTGACGCCTCAACAACGCCGCACGCTACGCCGCAGCACGCTTTGACGCAGCACGCTTCAACGATGGCGCACGCTTTGACGCAGCACGCTTTGACGCAGCACGCTTTGACGCAGCACGCATCAACGATGGCGCACGCATCAACGACGCAGCTCGCTTGGACGCCGCACGCCTTGACGCCCGCACGCCTTGACGCCGGCGCACGCCTTGACGCAGCCGCATGCATCAACGACGCCGCTCGCTTGGACGCCGCTCGCTTGGACGCCCCTCGCTTGGACGCCGCTCGCTTGGACGCCGCACGCCTTGTCGCCTCAACAACGCTGCACGCCTTGATGCAGCACGCTTCAACGACGGCGCACGCTTCAACGACGGCGCACGCTTCAACGACGGCGCACGCTTCAACGACGGCGCACGCCTTGAGGCAGCACGCTTTGAGGCAGCACGCTTCAACGACGCCGCACGCTTTGACGCAGCACGCTTCAACGACGCCGCACGCTTTGACGCAGCACGCTTCAACGACGCCGCACGCTTTGACGCAGCACGCTTCAACGACGCCGCACGCTTTGACGCAGCACGCTTCATCGCAGCACACGTCGGTGGCCGCACGCTTCATTGCCGTACGTCGGTTGGCGCACA